TTAAGTATGGAATAACTTATGTAACATAACAGTTTGGTTTTAAAGGATATTCAAAGATTCATTACAAACACGGTTTAAAGTATGGATTTACTTATTCAAAAATACATTTTGGCTTTTAAAGACTCATTGCAAACATTGTTTTAACTATTTTTATGCATACAAAGAAAATAATTTTTAGACTTATTAAAAGTATTACTGATGTTAGCAGAAAACCTGTAACACTCACCAACTTTGTGTTGACTCTCAAAACTACATGTATTCTCAAGAAAACTACTAAACAAACATTCAATAAGGATTGGATTACAGGTGACTTAGTTTACTTGCTGTTGTATTATATGCTTATCTGTTAAGGCAATTCATGTATTATTATTATTTGTAAAAACCTTGTATTCAAATATCAAGATGAAACATGAATGTTATATTGTTTATTGTTGTACTTGTGTTATATATTTAGTTTACCTGTGATCCATGAACTTAGTCATACAGCCCTACGTGTTCTGCCGCCTTGGCCGGGGGTGTGACATAAATCCCTCAACCGATGTTGCCAACGAGAGCAGGCGAGCCAAAATTCCCGCCGATACCACCTGTTCTACCTCTGTTGCCTCCTCTGCCTGGACGACCGCCTCTGCCGCCGCCTCTGGAGTTCCAACCACCACCCCTGCCAATGAAGAGAGTTCCTCGGTGAATGTTTGGAGGCCGATTTTCATGATTCATGTTTTCATGCGTGGTATATAGGATAGTAGGGGCTGAATGTAATGCCCGTGTTTCTATGCTAGGCATTAATATTGGGGTGATAGTCTAGGTTAACCTTTGTGACTCATTTTGAAGAAATGAAAAGGAATTATGTGAATATTATGTGTTTTATGTGTTTTATGTTTAATTACTAGGAGTTAATTAATTAAGAATAAAAATGAGCGTCGAAAATAAATATTATATAAAGCCGATATTTATTAAGAAAGTTGTAGTGGTCGTGACAAGGATTACGGATATATAAAGAACGCCGAAATCCGAGTTATAACGAAGAAGTTATGACCTGTCGAAGTTTCACGACAAAACCAGCACGGTGCTGAATGTCGTAAAAAATGAGTTTTTGATAAACTACTTTTTAGCCTTAGTGATCTAAACGAAACTTGTAATGTTCGTTAAACCGAGAGGAAGTTATGATTTTTCGAAGTTTCGGCTTAGCAGTAGACAGCTAAAAACTCGAATTTTAGATCGAGTGATTTTTAGCCGACACAACCTAAACGAGAATCGAAGGTCTCGTAAATAGTAGCACAACGGTAAAAAGTCTGACGAAAACGGACGTCGGATGAAGAAGTTATGAATTTTTAACGGATTTCCTGTCCCGTTGTGTTAAAAATAATAATATAAAAATTAAAGTCAAAATTAGCCGACGAAGTCTAAACGGAAGTTGTAGAGCGTAATTTTACCTACGCGTGCATATAAAGAACGTCAAAACGGAGCTCGTATGCGAAAGTTATGGATTTTAGAAGTTTTTGCATAAAAATCGAGAAAATTCGCATAGTCACGTTTTTGCCACGTCACCCTCGCTTAAAACGTGCCACGTGTCCGAAATCAGTGAGTCATGCGAGCTACGTGGCGAAATCTGCTGAGTCATCCGAAGACGTGTCGCGATCCTTCTGAGTCCGAAGCCGCGGTCCACTAAGAATCCGACGCGTGCCCTTGGTGCGTGTCCGAACCCTCGCAGACTGCCACAGACACCCCCTACTTCGGACCTAGACCTCGGTCCAGTAAGAAGCTGCCAGCAAACCTTCGCACGCGCAGCCCACGTGCGAGCCCTCCCCTGCGAGCCTCGGATCTTCACCACCTGGAGGCTTCTCAGCCGTCGGATCAGGAGCTTCGGCCCCTATAAATAGGAGGGTGCGAGACCTCCCGGGGGTATTTTGAAAACTTGTCAATTTTAGCCCCTAAACCCATATTTCTTTCATTCTAACTTCCCCCAAAGCCCCGGTATCAATTATAAGCCCCAGAATACGCCACGAAGTGCCCGAGAAGCCCGAAAAATTTATCTTTTCGGTTTCGAAGCCCGACCTTCGCAGAGCCCGGTTTCTCAATAAAACTCCCGGTTTTATTAGAAACGATCGTTTTAGGAAACGAATTGCTGCCCGATTTTCATCAAAACATGTGAGTGTGTAGTTATTTTCACTTTACACATAGATATGAAGTATTTACCTTAAAATACGTGTTATGTGTAAATATATTAATTGTTTATTTGAGGTGACTGTTGAACAGATGTTTTATACAAGTTTTAAACTGTATATGTATTTTATCTACAAATATGTTGGGTAGAACATGGGTAGACGAAATAGTCGGTGTGTGTTAAAATGGTGAGAGGCCTCGGTGTCGGTGTCGGTGTCGGTGTCAGTGTTGGTGTTGTTGGTGTTGTTCTTGGCGAAGTCGTCTAACGGAGTATAGATGACGACCACGGACTTTTCTAGACAGTCCAGTGGCACACTAGCAAGTTCGCAACTTGTAGGTGTTGGTGAACTAAATATTTGCTGGCGTACTCCAATCCCCCCTCATGGTTGCCTTTAGGACATGTATGGTTGAGGAGTCCCCTTAGCAGTAGTGTCCAACCCGATGATATTCCTTAGGTTAAGTCCCTTGTGTTAGGTGTTTAGGGACGTAAAGTGAGGACAACGGGGAATGAGTAATCAGGGTTATTGTTGATTGGTGAACTTAATAAGTTATTATTATTGTGGGTTGAAAACCCTATATGCTCACCAGGCTCCCAAGCCTGACCCACTCAGCTTTTTATGATTACAGGTAGTGGACCCTGAGCATAGTCGGAGGACGATGAGAGATTTTTGGATTATAGGCCAGTAGTTGTAAATAACTGTTGAAAGGCTTATAATGTCTTGTTTATGCTTTTTATCTGTATCGGAATATGACATCCCGAGGTTTTGATATATATGGAAAATATATACCTTCTTAAAGAAGGGATTTGATAAACTTTTATCATGTTTTATTTTGGGGACCTATTCCGCAACATCTTTTAAAAAGATTTCTCTGATTTTATTTTAAAAAGCATAAATTAAATCGGTCTTTTCTGGCCAAGAAATTAGGGGATGTCACACTGAAGCATGATCTTGATGAATAGCTTGTACCACACGATTTCGTTCCTTAATCATGGAACATTCTTCAAGCGTTAGCATCGACCGCATTTCAAGAAAAGTTGGGAATGGTTTCTAATGTCGAATGGTGGTAACCACATGAGCAAACTTTGGAGAGAGGCCATTAATGGCATAGATAACAAGATTACGTTCTGGAACCGGGGCTCCGATGTTGAACGATCGTTGAGTCACCAGTTGTAATGGAACATAGTTCATCATCAAGTTCCATGGCCTTGGATTCTTTGTTTTCAAGGAAAAGAGCTTCAATAGACTTCCAGACTTCGGCTGCATCAGGTTTGAGAATGGTTTGGAGGAGAGGCTGAGTGAGAGTGCCATGCATCCATTGTTTGACAATATTATCGACTTCTTCCCACTGGGGTTCATTGGCTTTGAGAGACGAACCATCAAGATGACCATAGACGGAATACCCAATGCAATGGGTCTTGAATAATTTTTTCCATGAATCATAATTCATGCGATCAAGATCAAGTAGAAGAGGGACATATGACTTTTATGTTTGTGATGCCAAAGATTTTATGAGTAGGTTTGGTTTTGGAAGAGCCTACATCTGAGACAGTCATGATGGAGAAGAGATAGAAATCGAGATGAGAAGAAAAGAAGACGTTGCCCTGAGGATCGACTAGGGTTTAGAGAAATTAGTCTGATACCATGTTAGGCACAATATTTTCCCATGAACGATAATTATATTCCATTACCAAATATATACATGATACAAGAATTGGGCTATGCTAAAACATTGTGGGCTAAATACAATGGGCCACACAAAGATTAAAACAAATACAATATGTAGAAGAGAGTGTATTGGTTTTTTATTTTCTTTGGGAAATTGATATGAATATTTTTTTATGGCTTAATTTTGTTTTTTATACATATGCAGGTTGTTGATGATAGAAATCCATCGGTAAGGTTTTGATGTAAGTTGTTTCTACCATCGACTTTGAACATGGTGAGCATCCTTTTTTATTCGGTATGTACGCATATCTTTTCATATTGCCTTTTAGTTAAAAACAAATATTAATCCTTTAGTGGACAAAAGCATGCGTCGAAGTCCATCTATGCAAATTTTATTATTTTCTTTTGGTTACTTATTACATAATATATGTCATCCATATTGGTAAACTTATTAATCGTCAATTTCTTATGGTTATTTCATGTTAGGTCTTTATTGTTTATCTTTTCTTTTAACTGTTTTTTGTGATTTGCATATGGATGTTAAACGTTTGTAATTTGTATGATGTCTTAGAAAAAATGTTTGTTATTTTATAATGTACATTTATATTTGTAAGCACGCTTCGTTCAAACCCATGGCGTAGCTCAAATATTTTTACTAGTTTTAATTAAAGTCCAACGTACATTAGTCCGTTAAAAGGGTAACCAAAGTTAATAATGTGAGGAAAAAGTATAAAAAATTTTATGGGACCAAACCCGTAATTTCCAAGAAAGCTGAAGGACGAAAAGTCTAATTTACCCTGCAAAATGCAAATTCTATTTTGTAATTGTGCTCAACTACAAAACTGGAGAGCAAACTTAAATACTATACTTTGTCAAACACGAAGCAACTTTGAATAAAACCACCAAACTAGTTTCTCCCTACATTGGTGGATCTTAATGTATCAAGATGGAGAATGAGGCAACCTTTTTTCATATTGAAGCCTTACGACTACAAACCAATTTCTGATATGCACCAAATCATCCCTTTCTTCCATTCCATGCCTTCTCCGTTGTGCATTATACCTCTTGCATCCGTGATAAGCCTTTCCCAATTTTGATCATAAGATGATTTAGAAAAACAAACATTCATTTCACAAGATTTTGATAATTATCCTTGGCTCGATCTATCATACAATGGCCGAAGATGGTTTAAAGGATGCGCTACTGAAAGGAAGGAAACACGACCAAAAAGGTCGAATTCTTCCCTCCAAAGAGAACTGCCATCGACAACAACCTCAAAACCAAACGAGTGTGAACCCACCACCGATTTCAGGAGTCCAACTTAGCTTAAAACAAGTTGCAATCTTCTTGGCGATTTACCTAGCCATAGGCACCATCTGTTTTTTCCTTGTTCGAGATCAAATCAGTGGTAGGAAAACCAATGGAATCCTTGATTCCATGTATTTCTGCGTTGTGACAATGACAACCGTAGGGTATGGGGATTTAGTCCCAGAAACCAATTTCGCAAAGCTTCTAGCTTGTGTTTTCGTGTTTATGGGAATGGGTCTTGGTGGCTTCGCTCTTAGTAAAGCAGCAGACTATATAGTAGAAAAGGAGGAAATTATCGTTGTAAAAGCCATGCATATCCATGATGCATGTGGTCTGAATGAGATCCTGAATGAGGCAGAAAGATATAAAGTCAAGTATAAATTATTAACAGTCTTGATACTCATTGCCTTCCTGGCAATCGTTGGAACTGTGTTCTTATCTATATTCGAAAATATGACTTTCTTTGATGCTTTTTATTGTGTTTGTGCTACCATAACCACACTGGGTTATGGGGATAAGAGCTTTTCAAGCTCAGGAGGCCGATTGTTTGCCGTTTTCTGGATCTTAACGAGTACCATCTCATTAGCACAGATGTTTGTGTACTTGGTTGAACTATGGACTGAAAGTAGACAAAGACGACTTGTGGATTGGGTACTTCATAGGAAATTGACAATTCAAGATATTGAGAAAGCTGATCTTGACAATGATAAACGTGTCAGGTAATTAAAGTTGGTTTTGTTTATTCCTCAAAACATAATAACTAGATTCTTGATTTACATATATATACTAATTAAAAGAACAAATTTTCTTGTGTAGTCCTGCAGAATACGTTGTTTATAAGCTGAAAGAGATGGGTTTGGTAAGCGAACAACTAATCATGAATGTGATGGAAGGATTTAACGATTTGGATGTTGATCATTCAGGCACCTTGACAGTAAACGATGTATCAGACTAATGAAATATAGCTTACATATTGTACATTGCTTAATTGGCTTTGACAACTTTTTTTGTAACAAGATTTTTGTTATAAACATTCGATGAAAGAAAGTTTGAATAATTAATACAGTGGTATTAGATGTTGTTTTTCTTTCTTGTGGTATTAGATGTTGTTTTTCTTTCTTGAAGTCTAAGACATAAAATAAAATTAATTGTAATTTATTAAGAGTAATTTAAGAATATACTAGATTTAAAAATACATTAGATTTGTAGTTAAAAACAACAATTCAATAAAAAACAATTGAATAACCAAAAGTAAATTGATGTATATATTAATAATATACACCTTCTCCAAGAACATTTTGGAGATCATTGAAAACATTTATTATATTTACAAGTACACATTTGTTATCATGTATAAACGAAAAAAACAAACTTACTATCTCAATTTCTCTTTCTATCTCTCCTTTATAACTTTATTATTAGCATCATGAAAAGGAGACTTTTTATCTTTCACGATCTTGATGATAATAGAGTCATCAAGACTAAAAATGGCCGCCATTAGTTTTTTAATTATATACTTGCTTTTTACATTACCGAACATCCTTGTGGGTTTTCTTCACTGAAATAATCACACCTCGCATAACACGGCCTGTTTCCGCCGTATTGGTATCCATAACCGTCGTAGCATGGGCCTGGTGGTGGTGGTACGGGCCTTCCATATCCATAATGACATGGCCCTCCACCGCGGCCTTCATAGCACTCCTGGCAACACACTGAAACAGGGAACTGCGGTGGACAGAAGGGCTGCGGGTATCCATGCATCGGTTCAGGCATCTTCACCGGCTCCGGCTGTGGAATAACAACAGGTGGCTTCGGAGTTGGAGCAGGATCGGGTTTTTTCGGTGGATCAGGTTTGGGAGGATCCACTTTAGTTTTTTCAACCGGCGCCGGCGCCGGCACCGGAACTACAACTGGGGTGGGCTTGGGCTCTGGTTTTTTCTCGATCACCTTCTGCTTCTCAGGTTCTGGGGGTTTCGGCTTATCGACAGGCTTAGGTTTTTCCGGTGGTTTCGGTTTGTTCTCGACGATCTCAATACTCTGGATTGCCTTCCCACCTTTGCAACAAAGCTTGTCTCTGATCTTCTCAGGATTGCAGCATACGACTGTGATCATAACCTTATTTTTGTCCTCATCAAACACTTGATCTCTTATTTCTATCATCCCAAAAAACAAGGAAAAAAAAGTCAGTTCTCATCTTTAGGTAACCCAACTTGTACATTACGCCTCGCAATTTGTAATCAAACAAGATTATGAAGATCATCTTTGACCTTGAAATCTTGTGAGACCCAAAAAGGTATGAAGCAATCGAACAAGATGATCGATGTTTATAATTAAGGAGATGCAGGGTGGAATTAACTCACGGGGGAATTTACAGAGGACTTTCTTGACCTTCTTGTAGCAGCAGGGGCATTTAAGATCAACACTCAGTATCATTACTGTAACCTGTTACACATGATCATGATTTCATTCATTTCGACGATCGAGATTCTAACAAACCAGTCCGTACACATACATAAGAAAGAAGCAGAAAGTAAGATGAAAGTACCTTTTCAGACGCCATGGTTTTCCTCAAGTGATGAGAGAGAGAGAGAGAGAGAGAGAGAGAGAGAGAGAGGGTTAAGAAGATGAGAAATAATCGAACATTGTGAGTTATGAATTAATTATGTGTAGTTTGAGAGTAGAAGAGGTGTCGACGTCCATGTGAAATCATCAAGAATTGTCGGTATTAAGAAGAAGGATGGAGGCGATTGCTGACCCTTCACTCAAAATAACGCATTTATTTTTCATAACCATGGAAGATAAGCTCAGCCCCCACACACATTAACTCACACCAACTCTGTGTGTTTTTGTTTGTGTAATTCTAGTACACCATGAAATTCGTTTAGTTTGACCCTACGTGTTGTTTATCTTTATCTCTCTCTTTTAACATTCAATGTCTGGTGTATTTCTTTGTTGGTGAAACAGTTTCTTGTAATATACCAGACATAAAATACAATCTTTATGTTTATTTTCAACTATGTGCAACGTGGGGGCACGTTTCTTCCTTTTTCTACTTCACATTTACGCCAATTAACACTGCATCTAAAATGGTGACCAAAACAAAACATAGCTCCCATTTAATTTATGTGTGTGAGAAATAACGGATGAACATAATATGATATTAGTGGTCTTTAGTTTTATGTTTATTATATATTGTTTTGAGGGAAAAGGAAAGGTGAAAATGTGATTGCTTATGTATGGATGACAGGAGGGTGGCTGTGATGTATGTTGAAAGCTTCTTCTACTTTTTGGAATAATCAAAGGGACAAATGCTTTTTTTCGCCTTTACAACAATTTTAGGTGACCACAATTTGATTTACTTAATAAAATAAACCTCAATTATATAAGTCATGCCCAACGATACGTTAAATTACGGTTTCAAATCTTTTTTAAAACATTATTCTATATTATATGCATCAAACTTGGAAATAACTTTTTGTCCATCCGTATCCATTATACTTTAATTTTTTTTTTTTTAAAAGAAACTTCTCTAACAAAGGTTTTCGAGTCAGTTTTCATGTATCCGAATTTTTATGAATTGTCACATATCTTTTAAAATTTTATATAATTTTATAATTTTTTTCCTACCTTGTATTTAACAATACAATAGTTAACTAAAACATTTTTTCTTTTCTAAAAGTGTCATTTATTTGTAATAGTTATATATATTTAAAAAGTTTACTTTTTTTCATTTAACAATTACCATTGCACTTAAGGGCGGCTTCCCCCAAACATTGAGTTTAATCAATTGAATCTCAACTAAAACATTGAGTTTAATCAATTGAATGTCAACTACATACTTCATCCCATGTATCGTAAATGTTCCTATATAAAATAGTAAAACACATTAAAATGTCAAACTTAGGCGGTTTGACATAACCATGACCATCACCTATTGTTGTTCTTTTTCAATTTACAAATTATTTTCAATATTTTTATTTTATTTTCAATATAAACAAAATTAAAATTAATATTTTTTATGATGGTATATGGTTTCAGGTTAATTTTGAATTCTAGATTTTTTTTATAAAAAATTGTCAAAATATGTCCATCTTTATATAAATGACCATTAATGCAAACCAATACATCACTACAAGAAATATTGGCATTAGCGGCGACGCAGGGCAATAGCGGCGACATGTAATTGATGCGTTACATGTCGCCGCTATTGCCCTGCGTCGCCGCTAATGCCAACTAACAACGATCCACGTCATATTAACCCCATCCGTCCGATTTGTTTTCAATCGAAGGGTCGAAGAGGAACACGAAAACGCGCTGACTTTTCCCTCCAAGGTGTCGCCGCTATTGCCCTATTGTCGCAGCTAATAGCTTGGCATCGCTGCTATTGTCTGTCGCCGCTAAAGCCCGTTACAGATAACCCCCCTAAAGCTTCCATTTCTGTGTCGTTCTTTCTGTTCCTTTTCTCTCGTTTCTTTCTCGTTTCTGTTTCGTTCTCACTATGACGACAAGGACGAGGGTAGAAACCGGCGACATTCCCTAGCCGCTCCTGCTGCCACAAGACCGCCACACCTTCCCCCAATCCTCCATTACCGGCGACCTAGACACTCCATACCGGCGACCCTTCAGCTCAATTCTGAAATTGCCCACATTGAAGGTCGAATTCCTCCCTATTTTCTATTATTTTTCTGTTTTGGTGCTAATTTGGATGATAAATTGTTAGTATTCTTCAATTCTGTTGAGTGATTATCTTTGTATTTTGAGATATGAAGTGTTTATGCATTTTGTGGGATTGTATATGTTATGAAGTGTTCATGCATTTTGTGGGATTGTATATGTTTTTTCAGATTTGTAGGAAGTGTTTATGCATTTTGTATATGTTTTTCTGATTTATGTTTATACCACATTGGCTTAAAAATGAAATTTGGCATGAAATTGAAATTGGATGTATATATACATTTGTTTGATTTTGTATTTAGATGTATATATTTGTATGAAATTGAAATTGGATGTATGCATTTGTTTGAAATTGGATGTATACATTTGTTTGAAATTGTATGTTTAATTGTATGAAATTGGAATATGCAAGTTGTATTGTATTCTAAAATGAAATGAAAATTGGAATTAAATGTATTGTATACATTTGGCTTAATTGTATGAAATTGGAATATGCAAATTGGATGTATATATTTGGCTTAATTATGTTATTAATAGCAACTTACTTCTAGTAATGTATTGTATATGGTTTCAAAATGCTTAATTTTGTTAGTGACTTAATGTTGGTCATTACAACTTTAGCTTAATTAGGTTATTAATAGCAACGTACTTTTAGTAATTTTTATTTAATAATAGAATAAAATTAAATTAATTTTAAAAAAAATCAATAAAAAAATAATAAATTAATTGTAAAATCAAATTCAATTAGTTTTAAAATCAAGTTAATATTAATATTAAAATAAAATAAAATTAGTTTAAAAAATTAAACTAATAACAAAAAGAAAATATTAAATTAATTAGAAAATCAAATTAAGTTACCTTTAGAATCAAATTAAATTTATTATAAAATCAAATTAAATTAATTATAAAATCAAATTAATATTAATATTAAAATAAAATAAAATAAATTATAAAATCAAATTAAATTAATGTTAAAAAAAACTAATAACAAAAAAGAAAATATTAAATTAATTATAAAATAAAATTAAGTTAATTTTAAAATCAAAGTGCTTAATTTTATTAGTGACTTAATGTTGGTCATTACAATTTTAGCTTAATTAGGTTATTAATAGCAACATACTTTTAGTGACTTAACGTTGTCACTTTCTCTTTGCTCCTTGGGTATTAGCGGCGACAGCCCATACCTTTTGCGGCGACAAACGTCGCCGCTATTGCCTGCATTTCTTGTAGTGCATATTCTCTATAGGGTGTGCTACATCTATGCATGCGTCATTAAAATAA